ATCTCCCAGCCTGGAATCTTATTTAATAAAGAGTAAATAGCAAGTCAAACAGAGGTACCTTGCTATATCCCGGGGGGACTAGGGGGCCAGAGTGATAGGAGCAGTCCACCCTTGCCCAGGAAGAGTGTTGTATCACTGAAATTATTTAGAATTGTCGGTGTGTGGTGATAACAACAGGCAGGGTAACTCTTAGTTTCATTATTGTGTGGATATAAATGAAAACCACCCAAAGAAAACAGACAGGCTCATTATTCAGAGCAAGGGAGTCAGCCTCAGTCCTTCAGGTGGGCCAGCAGAGAATGCTCCAGTATGACCTCTAAAGGGCATACTGTTGCCCTGGCCGGTTTGGCTCAGCGGTTGGAGCATCGGCCTGTGGGCCAGAGAGTCCCGGGTTCGGTTTCCGCTAGGGGCACATACCATAAACAAATACAGGGCGCACTGTCATCTTTCTGTGTTCCAAGTTTTAGAAATGTTCTCTTCACAAAAGTGGATTCAATTGTGAAATACTTGTTAAAATAACAACAATCATGTGGGTAACATTGACTGCTGGCTCCTGTTTTTTCTTTCCTTTTCACTACACTGCTAAGGGATGGATGGGTAATGATGACCACTTTTGGTTGAGAAAATTAAGGCTCAGATAGAATAAGTAGGTTCCCAAAGGTCACATATCCAGTACAAAGTATAGACAGAATTTGAACTTGTGGTTTCTTACTTGGAAAACTTTTGTATCTCACAGAGAGGGTTTCTAAAGTGTCTTTATACCCACAATAGTGCCTTGAATATTATATATGTTCAATATGTGTTTCTGGTGAGTTAATTGAAAATCCAACCAATACAAGCAAAAAAGGAAGTAATAAATAATTTGGGGAGGTCTTTCCTTTTGTGCTTCTGTACAATTTCTTCTCTTTACCCAGACTCCTCTCCTCCCTTCGGTAAAGGCACATAAAGTCATATGATGATAGCATCACACAATGATACTGTGCAAATTAGGAGCCAGTATGGATATAAATCATCACTCTGCATCACAAAGTACTGGTGGTGGAAACATACTGGCCCTTTTCACAGGGGTTTATTTTAAAATTCCATCTCTATTTCATCTAAAAGAATGCGTGGACAACTATCACTCTCTAGATCAGTTGAGGAAGTTGAGTGAGCATGAACTTAAAAATTCACTCTTACAGATGGAAGACCAGATAGACTAAGTAAATGCAAGGTCACAGAGCAAATCCTTAGAAGAATGCAGAAAGAGAGCCAACACTTTCCCTTGAACCTTAGAGTTCTAACTATCGGACAATCCCTCCCTAAGTTGTTTTCTTCCATTTCAATGTCTCCTTTCTTAAGCCAAAATGATGCCCAAACGGCAGCTGATTTTATTTTATTTTTTATTTTTTATTTTTTTTTATCCTCACCCGAGGACATTTTTCCATTTTTTATACAGACAGAGTGGGAGGGAGAGAGAGGAAGAGAGAGAGAGGGAAACATCGATGTGAAAGGGACACATCGAGTGGCCGCCACCCGCACGACCAACCAGGGTCCGGGACAAACTGCAACCGAGGTACGTGCCCCTAGCGGGAACCAAACCCGGGTCTCTCCGGACCGCAGGTGGACGCTCCAACCGCTGTGCCAAACCGGCCAGGGCCGGCAGCTGATTTTAAATGGGGGAGAGAAAATCCTTCAGAAAAGAACAGGTCTGGCAGTGACATTTTTTCTTGATTTAAACAGTGCATGATTTTTGTATTTCTGTGTGAGTGACCACATTCAGCAAGACAGAATTGCCAAACACCTGGCAAGTGTCATATCCTCTTAGCTAAAAACAAAGCCATAGGAACCCAGAGCCCATGTACATTCATGTGATTTGTAGTTAGTAATCAAGGCGATTCCGTCTAGATATCCTTTCCCAAACACCCTTCACTTCGAGATCTTTTTCTGCTTAAATCGCTGAGTATGTGCAGGTGTTCTGTGTGACCCGAGTTGCCATTGTTGTCAAATTTAATCTCATCTTCGGGAGCACCGTAGTCATGAGCCAGAGGAACAATCTGAATGTTCCAAGCCCTGGCTCACATACGGGAACACCTGGGGTCTGTCCCAATAGGCAGCTTAGATTTATGACAGAGACAGGGCAATGGCAAGTGTGGGGCTTAGTCCCACTTGTCTTTTGTCCAGAGAATCACAGGGCTTGTCTGCATTTGGGAAAAGCCTCTATGCATACGCATGAGCAAGAAAAAAGGAGGACAAAGGGTGAAGGGGATAGAGAGGTGAGAGGTACAAGAGTACCAGGAGCTTCTCAGTCCATCAGAGCAGATGGTTTTGTGGGCCACGCGATGTCAGCCACAGCCCTGCAACTCTGCTGGTGTGTAGGAGAAGCAGCCACAGATAATATATGAGTGAATGGTAACACTTTATTTACAAAGAGATGCTGGCTGAATTTTGCCTGCAGGCTCTTATTGGCCATCCCCTGAATTGGAGGAATGGGTGTCCCAACCTGACTTTACCTTGAGCCGGAACCTGAGAACTGCAGATTTCATGATCTGAACTGGGAACGTCTTGCTACTCAAAACATCACAGAAAGTAGGTGCTTTCAAAACCTTCTTCCACAGCGAGGCAGATTTTCACAGACTGAACAAACACATCCATGTAACCAGCACCCAGATTACAAAATAAGAGAAGACCAGCACAAGTGCCCCCAGAAGCTCGACATTTTCTGTGAGACACATCCTTGTTGTTGAATGTAGTCATAGCTCATTCAGTGCTATTGCTGTGTAGGGCTCGACTGTGTGGCAACATCAGCCCACAGCTCAGAGAGACCACTCCACACTGGGTCTCGGCCTGGGCCCCCACAACTCTCCTGGGTTGGGGTTCTAAGCCCCAGGCAATTTCATCCTTTGAAAACTCCTCCAGCCTCTACCCATTACTCAGTTCCAAAGTCACTTCCACATTTTTAATTATGTATTATAGCAGCACCCCCACTCCTTGGCACCAATTTCTAAGAAAATGCAAAGCCATTTGAAAACATGGAGGCTAAATAGCATGTTATTGAACAATGAATGGGTTACCATGGAGATCAAGGAAGAAATTCAAAAATTCCTGGAAACCAATGAAAACGAACACACAACAACACAAAATCTATGGGATGCAGCAAAAGCAGTTCTGAGAGGGAAGTTCATAGCACTACAGGCCTACCTCAAGAAGCAAGAAAAATTTCTAATAGACTAACCTCACAACTTAAAGAACTAGAAAGCAAACAAAAGGAAAACCCCAGAGCAAGTAGAAGGAAGGAAATAGTAAAGATCAGAGCAGAAATAAATGACATAGAGACCAAAAAAACAATTCAAAGGATCAATGAAACAAAGTGCTGGTTCTGATAAACAAGAATGATGGATCCTTAGCTAGACTCACCAAGAAACAAACAGAGAGAAACTAAATACACAAAATCAGAAATGAAAGAGGAGAAATAATAACTGACACCACAGAAATACAAAGGATTGTTAATATTATGAACGATTATATGGCAACAAATTTGACAATCTAAGTGAAATGGACAAATTTCTAGAAACACATCGTCTCCCAAAACTGGACCGGGAAGAGATAGAAAACTTGAACAGACCAATAACAACAAAAGAAATTGAAGATGTATTCAAGACTCTCCCAGCAAACAAAAGCCCAGTCCCGGACGGCTTCACGGGGGAATTTTACTGAACATTCAAAGAAGAAGTAATACCCATTCTCCTCAAACTATTTCAAGAAATTCAAGAAGGAAGACTTCCAAACTTGTTTTATGAGGCCAACATAATTCTAATTTCAAAACCAGAAAAAGACACTACAAAGAAAGAAAATTACAGGCCAATATCCCTGATGAACATAGATAAAAATTTCTGTCTTAATTCATGCTGCTGTAATTGAATGCCATAGATTGGGTGGCTAATTAACAACAGAAATTAATTGCCCACAGTTCTAGAGGCTGGAAAGTCCAAGGTCAGGCACCAGTAGATGTGGTGTCTGCTGGAGAAAGACTCTTCCTGTTCATAGATGGCTGTCTTCTCCCTCTGTCCTCACATGGCAGGAGAGGCCAGGGAGCTCTCTGGGGTCTCTTTTATTTTATTATTACTATTATTTTTAAATGTGTCTTCATTTATTTCAATGAAAGGAAGAGAGGGGGAGAGAGAAACAGAAACATTGATGAGACAAAAACATCCATTGGCTGCCTCCTGCAGGCTCTCTACTGGGGACTGGGCCCACAACCTGGGCATGTGCCCTGACTGGGAATCAATCCAGTGACCTCCCGGTGCATGGGTCGATGCTCAACCACTGAACCACACCAGTGGGGCTGAGGTCTCTTTTATAAGAGCATTAATCTCATTCATGAGGGCTTTACCCTCATGACTTGATCACCTTCCAAGGGCTCCACCTCCAAATACTATCATGTTGGGGATTATGTTTCAACATGTGAATTTGGGGGGACACAAACCTTCAGTCTGCAGCAATATCATCATTGGCCATTTAGATATTCTTGGTGAAATGTCTCTTCAAGTCTTGTCCATTTTTCTATGTTGTTTGTACTTTTCTTATTGAAATTCAAGAAGGTTTTTCTCCCCCTGAATTCTAGTTGTATTCTTGTGCAACACGTTACTTAAAACTTAATAGCTTAAAACAACAATAAACATTTATTATCTCATATTTTCTATGGGTCAAATATCTTTTCTATGTCATGCACACATAAACTAATTACTAAAATTCCAAAGCACACCAAAAATTACATTATATTTTTTGCTGATCTGACAAAAAAAAAAAAAGGTATAATTGTTATTCATTCACCCTGGGTGGCTATTGTGTTGGCTGTATCATTTTTTTTATTTGACAGTCTAAGAAAAAAGAGGTCAGTGCCCCTAACTAAATAATCAGGTATTGCATGTTTTAAAAATTACTATGACATATCAGTTAAAAATCACTGTTCTAAAGCTATGATTAGGGCTGAGAATCCACTTCCAACATGGTGCACTCACATGGTTTGTAACTTGGTGCTGGCTGTTGGAAGGAGGCCTCGGTTTCTTTCCCATGTGGTCCTCTTCACAGGGCTGCTTGAGCATCCTCCTAACATGGTGGTTGGCTTCCCTAAGTGTGAACAATCTAAGAGAGCAAAGTAGTAGGCACAATGCATTTATGTGGCTAGCCTGGAAAGTCACACACCTTCACCTCTACCCTATTCCACAGTCACCCAGAGCAGCCTTCATTCAGTGGGGAGGGGAAGGGGGGCTATTTACACATAAGCATGAATACCAGAAGAAGAGAAACACTGGGGACAATCTTGGAGGCTGGATACCACTTGAGTCCTTTGTCATATCAAGTCATTTTTGGAGAATAAAATAAAAGGAAAGAGGGAAAGATCTTTTGGGATGTGCCTTTGATCATACTAACATGCATTCCTTCTCATCTGACTACTTAGCCCTTCTTCAAGACCCAGCTGAAGTCCCCAGGGCATCAGTCTCTCTCTGGCTGCCTGTTTATGTGCTTGGACCTGCAGGGACACATGAGACACTGCCTGCCAACTGACTAAGTCATGCCTAAAATCTTGTCTTTTTAAATTAGATTTTAATTCTCTTTTGAAGCAAGCATCTTTGGGAGGGTGTCATGTTATGATTTGTCATGAGTCATCGATCCCTTAGTTATTAAAGTGTCATCCAAAACAGGGTTTTCAGGTTAGCAAGAGGCACCAAGCTCCTGTGCTGATAAGGAGATGGGGTATTTCTCTGCTAGATAAGGGAACCCAGCAACAGACCAGGGACTAGGGAGAGTCAAGAGAGGTGCCACCTCCAAAAGAAAACTTAAGGAAGCACTTACTCTCAGAGTCATGCTAGTATAGGGTCTGCACCTGAGAGTGAGTGCCTCCTTAAATGGTGCCTTACTGGCTTCACCACAGCCCCACCCCTGGCTGGAAGCTCCAAGTGGGACATCTTCCCTAGGAGTGGCCTATGTACTTGCAATGATGGTAACAATTCAAACAATGACAACTTTCGGTTCAATGACAAGCCACTGCCATTTTTTTTTTTCCCAGCAATTCCATGTGGTTTGACTTTTATCATGTATTTAATTGCTAATCGTCAAGCACTTTGCTCACATACTTATTAATCCTTATAACAACCTCTGCAAAATAGACATCATTCCCATTCTATAGCTGAGGAAAGTAAGGCTTATCAAAGCTACAAAACTCCCCCAGCTTCATACAACTGGTAAGGGGTAGTGCCAGAATTCCAAAGTAGGTTGGTCAAGTGACATACCTCACCTCATTTCCTCTCACCATCCTGAGTATTTCTACAGGAAACCAGAAATGAACAGCTATAGGTGTGGTGTAACTTGAATCCATCTGGGCAGAGGTTTACTCTATTATATTAGCAATGACCTATAATGACTGACATTATGCAAAACTATTAGTGCCATCTCATACGCGAAGCATAGACATTCAAGTGTTTGCAGAAGATGGCGTGGGAGGAGGGAGCTAATAAAAAGTCCCCACAAATGACTAACTGCAGTTGAGAGAGATCTTATAGGTGGGGCAAGGTGGATCTATGGCTCCAGAAAGCTGCAAAATCTTTTACTAGAAAATTCTGTTTCAAGGCCAATGAGGCAGTCTAGTCCTTGCCCATTTTCCAGGAAAAAAGAAGGATGATTTTTATTTTAATTTTTGAGGATGAAAAGGTGATTTTATTGATAATCATGGCCATTGTAAAGTTCTGTTTTGAGCCCTGAAAGTCACTGCAAGTTTTAGCTTACAAGGAAAAAAAAGCCATTTTCAGTGGAATCATTATCTCTTTTTAGAATAAACCATATGAATGTGTAGGTCAAAACTGCCCAGTGTTGGCAATTTCATACGGTACAACCCAATACATAATTAAGAGCAGGTTAGGCAAACTTTTCCTGCAAAGGGCTAGTTAGTAAATATCTTAGACTTTTCCAGCCATACTCAACTCTGCCATTGAAAACAGCCACAGAAAACATGTATATGGTTGTGTTCTAATAAAACTTTATTTATAACAGCAGATGGTGGGCTGGATTTTCCACACAGGCCATAGTTTGCCAACCCCTGATAGGGAGGCAGAATTCAAGTGTAATTCAGTATCTTTCTTTGAGTTTTCAGTTTTGTGGTTTCATTGTTGTTCTGGCTTCTGTTTTTGTTTTTTTTACAATTCTTTTAATGCTAAAATGAGGATAACAAAAAAGAAAAAAAAAACTAGATGGTGCAGAACTTCTTTGAAGGGGAGAGGAAGAGTTTGGCTATAGGGCACACATTTTAAGAGGCCAGCTGTTTTCACTCTGCATTGGATAGATGGAAGAGCCATCCAGTTGCACAAGTTCCAAGCTTCAACTTGGTATTTCAAAAATAGAACTTGCTGCTGGAGCATCTTTACATATAAACATTTGGAGAGGATGCTAAATAAATATGGACCAAATAATGTCATGGGTCCAATGCTGTTATTATGTAATATATGAGAACCTTTGATCTATGTATCTAAGTATTTAATCGTGTGTGTGTAAATAAGAACACTGTGTGTGGGGAAGGAATGCTGAAAGATAAATAGATTAACAAGTAATATGGCTTTACCTGAATGTAAAGGGTACCAGCGTGTGTATAGTAATTCACATTTGCATTGTGATTACTGTCACAGGCCTGGATTCCAGACCTGCTTTCGTCATTGAACCTTGGGCAAATTATTTAGCCAATCTCCTTCCTTGTTCCTCATTTATAAAATAAAGAGGTTGGATGAGATCAAAGGATCCCAAACTGAGATGACTCCAGGGCCAGGCTGATAATATAAGGACGTAAGCACAATGTACAACAGTAGATGTTAAATTGGTTGTATTATAATCTGCTTCGTTTTACAGCCTTTTTACCAAAAAAAAAAAAAAAAAAAGACTACTTTTTTTAGGTTCACAGCAAAATTGAGAGGATGTATAAAGATTTCCCATATACCTCCAGCCCCCACAGCCTCTCTCATGATCAACATCCCCTACCAGAGGGTACATTTGTTACAACTGATGAATCTAAACTCACACATCATGATTACCCAAAGTCCAGAGTGTACATTTCAACATTCTAGTTCACTCTTGGTGTTGTACATTCTATGAGTTTGAACAAACGTATAATGACATGTACCCACCATTGTAGTATCATACAGAATATTTTCACTGCCCTAAAAATCCTCTATGTCCCATTTATTCATCCTTTCCTCTTCACCTTCCAAAGCTGGCAACCTTATGTCTCCATAGCTTTGCCTTTTCTAAAATGTCCTATACTTGGAATCATATAGTATGCAGCCTTTTTAGATTGGCTCCTTCCACTTAGTAAGATGTGTTTAAGTTTTCTCCATGTTCTTTCATGGCTTGATAGTCATTTGTTTTTTAGCACTGAATAATTTTTCATTGTCTGAATGTACCATAGTTTATTTATCCATTCAGTACCTATCAAAGGACATCTTGGTTGCTTTCAGGTTTTGACAATTATGAATAAAGTTGCTATAAATATCTGTGTGCAGGTTTGTGTGTAGACATAAGTTTTCACCTCCTTTGGGTGAATACCAAAGAGTGCGATTTCTGGATCCTATGGCAAGAGTATGTTTAGTTTTGTAAGAAACCATCAAACTGTCTCCCAAAATGGCTATACCATTTTGCACTCCCACCAGCAAAGCATCTTTTCACTTATGCTGCATTTTAGAACAAAATAGAAGATACAAAAAACTATGAGCAAAGTTCAGCTTTGGCCCATGGGTTGCTCAAGATTGGCCCAGAGGTAACTAAAGTAGGGCTTTTCCACCTCAGCACTATTGCCATTTTGTGTGCCAGATTGTTTTTTTTTGTTTGTTTGTTTGTTTGTTTGTTTTTTGGAAGCTGTCCTATATATTACAGGATGTTTAGCAGCACCCTTGGCTTCTACCCACTAGATGCCAGTAGCACCCATCACCATCCCCAAGCAGCGACAATCAAAAATGTCTTCAGATACCTACAAGTTCCAAGTGCCAGAAACATTGCCAGGTGTCCTGTAGAAGGCAAAATTACCCCTGGGTGAAAACCACTGAGGTTTTGAGGTTACTATGAAAATACAGGGTTTGAGACATAAACTATAATCAGTGCTATTGAGCATCAGCGTTATTTGGGAACATGTTAGAGATGCAAGTTCATGACCACCGCTCATACATATGAACTCAGATCCTGTGGTGATGGAGCTCAGGAATCAGTGTTTTAGCAAGCTCTCAGGTTGTTTGATGTTTTCTGATGTCTTAGCAGCACTGGCGCAGATTCTTAGGGGAGCAATTCAAGCTTCTGCCTTCTTGAATGCAGGTGACGGTAAGTGGGAGTGATCAGGATCTAACTGGTAGGGTAGAGAGCAAATTGCTGGAGGAAGATAAATAGAAGCATGCTTTGTTTTCCATTGGTGGGATGGGGAAGAAGGGAGTGAAGGCTTAGATTTTAATGGCAATTGATGAATGATCTTTAAGGATTTAAAATACCATGGATTTCCTGAGATGAACTCTAGATGCCTACCTGTATATAGTATCCATGTTCTCTTAGTTCATCTGGACTATATGTCTGTAATGAGTATATGCTAGTCACAATGGCTGCCTGCTCCAAAGTAGTCCCCCCAGTGACTGCAACTCCTCCACCTGGCCATAGAAACTCACTTTGTCATCACTCCCAACCCGCTCTCTTCACCTCCTCTCCCCCAACCAGGAGTTAGTACATGTCCCAAGTCTGACTTATCAGAATCCTCCTATGATTTTTCAAGCAAGATCTAGCAAGCTGACTTGAGAGAATAACTCCCACGAAAAAAGAGAAACAGAGGTAGAAACACGGAAAGATGATGAAGTTTGAGCTGCTTCCACTTGCTCCTACATCCTTTCTGTGATTTGAATATGTGTGCTAACAAGTACCTCCTCTATTTACCTTAGGTAGTTTGAGTCAGCTTTCTGTCACTTGCAACCACAGAGTCCTGACTAATAATATACAGCTCAGCAACATAATCTGGCAAATATGATTGCCTAGCACCTCCTAAGGATTATGACCTGGATTTAGGATTGTAAAATACATTGTAGAATAATCAATCCTAACCCACTAATTTTTCTT